CTCAGCATAGATAACCACTAAAAACGAACCAAGGAAACGGGGTGCCTGGGTGGCTCAGTCGGTTAAGTATCTGACTTCGGCTCAGGTCATGCTCTCACAGTTCGTGGGTTTGAGCCCCGTGCAGGGCTCTGTGCTGACAGTGCAAAGCCTGGAGCCTGCTTCAGATTCGGTGTCTCCCTCTCTCTCTGACCCTCCCCTACTCACAGTCTCTCTCTCTCTCTCTCTCTCCCTCTCAAAAATAAATATATGTTTAAAAATTTTCAAAAAATGAACCAAGGAACTAATTTCTATTTTTGAACATAATTACTGTTTGTTTCACATACTGCATAGATTTTACTATTCTAGAAGGACCCATTTGATTACTTGTGTGCAGGATGTTTACTAATCCAGGAAAAGAGCCCAAAGTGGTAGGGATTAATCTTCAACTTTCTTCATCCTCTTTCGCCTTAGATATACCCTAAAGCACATACCCCAAAAAAGCATGAATTCTCAAAGGCCAGATTCAACTTGGTATCAGGACCCTTCCCCTTTTCTCCTTGCTTTGGTCTCTTGAGTGTGAGAACATTTTCAGTTCATGACTCTGAAATACTGAAGCAAATATCTCTTATTTCAGCTAGACTGGCAGGGCTCAGTGGCTGTCATGAATGAAGTGACTCTCATGATCTAAGGAGCCATTCAGTCAGCATTTTTTTTTTTGCTTATGAACCCCCTGACTCCCCTCACCTGCCCAGGCGAAGGACTCTATCACTTCTGCACAAACTTAAAACTTCTGATGATACAATCAGCTTCTGTCTTTCCCTGGGCTCCCATCTAATCCAGTTTGCCATGGTGTGGTGGCAGTAGCAGTGTCCAGGGGGCCTTGGCCTTGAGATTTCGGTCAAGGTCCATCTAATCAGGTGAAGCAAACATTTTTCATTTACCCCGTTCCCTGAGCTGCTGCTGCTGCTGCTGCTGCTGCTGCTGCTTAGAAATTGCCATGCAATTTAAAAATGAAAAATGTTTCATCTCTCAAGATCCTAATTTACAATGGTTAGGAATGTGGGCCAAGTATTTTCCCAGCGACTCTTGGATGTTCCCCAGTTGTCCTATCTCATTTGCCTGATGTAGGAAAGCAATCTGGGGGATGTCTCTATTATTCCCCCACGCCCAGTGTAGTGCCCCAACCCCATTCACCTCTTTTCTTTCTCTCCTAAGATGGAAAACTATACTCAGCCACAGTGACTGACTTCCTTGCCATTGATGCGGTCATTTACCGGAGTCTGGGAGACAGCCCAACCCTACGGACCGTCAAGCATGATTCCAAATGGCTGAAAGGTGAACCAACAATTAAGAGAGGGGTGGGGGCTCATATCTTGAGGGAGATTTAGAGTCCGGACAGACCAGACTGGAGTTTCATGTTGGTAATAGCTTCTGACAGACAGGAAGGTGGAAATGGCATCTTTTGCCCCAAATGATTTATTTACTTCCCCCTTCTCATTTCCCATGAGTTTCTGGAATATTAACACAACTACCAATGCCACTACAATAGAACACACCACATTCATCTTTCCTGCCTCAAGCACTCGTTTCAGAGTCTAACATGAAAAGAACTGAACATTCCATTCATGGAAGGGAACAGGGATCGGAGGTGGTGGGGAGCAGGGAAAATGCTATTCCCAACCCGGCATGAGTCAGGATTCACGAGGAGATGCATACAAAAAATCCTTTCTGTAATAGAAGCATTCGTTGTGGAAAATAAAATTACAGACATATGAAAATTCATTTATTCTTCATTGTTAATTGCAACCACTTCTGAAAGATAGAATTTTGTAGGCTCGAATGCCTTCTGAAATCACCAGCCCTTGCTGGTGTGGTCATGAGAAATGGTTCGTGTTAACCCAATGTCTAATGGCCCTACACTTTTAATTAGTATCATGTCTTTGGTCGCAGCTGATTGAAGTTCTTTTAACTGTGTGACATGTCCCCAATTAAAGTGCCATGTGTCCACAGAACCATACTTTGTCCAAGCAGTGGATTATGGAGACTACATCTACTTCTTCTTCAGGGAAATAGCAGTGGAGTACAACACCATGGGAAAGGTAAGAGGCGTGGATGACTCCCCTGGCCCCGTGTTGTTCTGGATGACCTTGATATAAGAACCATAAATCTAATCGCAAGGTCATCGCTTTGAGAAGACTCGGCCAAAGTTTGGTGGACGTGAAACACTGTTCTGCCTCAGAGCCCTGTAAGCTTTTCCAGACCAGTCCCAGATTGTAGGGAACCTCTTAAATATTTCTACTGAAAATGTAATCCACAGATGTCTATCTGGGTGATTTCACACTGAGTTTCAAGTATCTTGAGATGTGGCTTCCTTCCAGGTATACTCATTGTTGTTTTTGTTTTTGTTTTCTTTTTAACTCAGTTGTTCCACAGACAGAGAGTAGATATCCAGTATCTTTAAGCAAAATGAGAGCCCTGATCGTCTTTTACTGCAAAAAGCAACAGAACACTTACGGGATGTCCACTTCAGTTATTTTTACCAGAGAGAAGGTCAAGGTCACTAAGTTGGAGGGCACAGACTCAGTGCCAGGGTGGCCTGCAGGGTTACAGGAATTCAGAGTATGAGATTCAGGGCCCAGAGACAGCCAGTGAGGATGGCAGAGATGGTGCATACAAAGTGTGCTTTTGTTTGAGGAAATAAAAAGCTAAGCAGTCTGTATGGAAATGAGTTTATCTGGCTGGGAGCTGATCCCCTGAAGGATTTATGGTTCTGTATTAAATGCCACAGCCTTATCTTTCAAAACATGCTGTTCCAATGAGTCCCCCCCCTTTTTTTGCTACTAATTTTAGAAACATGGGATTAAATTAAGCACCGTGTTGTTGTTGCTTCTGTTTTCTAAGAAAGGCAAATTCTACTAACATCTTGAGAAGTGAGTGCATTTCATCTTTCCTGTGTGTTTTTCCTCTGCAGGTAGTTTTTCCAAGAGTGGCTCAGGTTTGTAAGAACGACATGGGAGGGTCCCAAAGAGTCCTTGAAAAACAGTGGACGTCTTTCCTTAAGGCTCGCCTGAACTGCTCAGTTCCCGGAGACTCTCATTTTTATTTTAACATACTCCAGGCAGTCACAGATGTGATTCGTATTAATGGCCGTGATGTTGTCCTGGCAACCTTTTCCACACCTTACAACAGGTAACCATGCCCTCGCTCTGCTGACCTAATCCGTCCTTCCCAGCTTCCCTTCCCCCTAGGGGTTCTCTCCTAATGCACAAGATTCACAACTGATGCAAAAATTGATGCTTAAGGGCTCTGTTTTCATCAACAAATTAATAGTCAGTTAGAAGCAATATTAGCTTAGGATTTTAGGGGAAGTAATTAAATAAATTATAACAATATCTTCTATTTATATGCCTGGCATACAAACACTTCTTATGTGTTATTTCAAAATCTCTCCAGTAATAATAGAAACTGAATACTGTTGCCCTCTTTTTACATTTGAAGAAACTAAACTCAATTATATTACCTGGTCCAAGTCAGGAGTCGAAAGAGGCAGCTTTAGAACTCAAGAATGTTTCTCCTCCCACTTCCCTCTTCGAGGTCATCTAACGTTCTGTTTGACTTTTACTATTTCTATGACTGGATCGGTAACTTTTAAAGCCAAAACACTGAAAATTTACTTAAATGCTACAGAGTGAAATTTAGGGTTCAGACAAGTCCATCTCTCATCCCCCACAAGGGACCCTGGTTATTATCCTGTCGGAGGAACCTGGACCCCAACCACCAGGGACTCCGGGGGGCTTGAGTGAGGACTTGGAAGTCATCAAACACGGTGCCTAGAAATACTGAACATCAGCTCATTCGTTCCTATATTTGTGTTTATTTAAGCTGAGACTTTGAGTAATCAAATGACGCACTAAAAAGTGTTCCTGGGGCAGCAGAAATGTGTGGAGATTAAAAAACAGGAGGAAGAAAGGCATGACATTCTCTGGTACTGAGCTCTCCTGAACTTTAGAGTCCTGGCACTGCTGCGTAAGAATGATTGTGACTGGTGGGCATGGACATAAAATCTGAGAATACATGCTTTCATTCTGGATTATACTTTTTGTTACACTTGTTATTCTGGATGAGACTTTTAAGAACCTGATACGAGTCTAGATGACAGATAAATGCATGATGAGACTGGAGGGTGGCATACAGGAAGAAATGTGTAAGAACTAGGGAGAGTCCGAAACAGAGCATGCTGGAAGATGCTCTGATGTTCCTCAGTTAAACAGAGGGCAAGAGTCAAGAACTCTCCACTGAATACGTGCAAATATGAATCCATGCTGCAAAAAAAGTATTCAGTTCGATTTAAGTAAGTCTTAACCATCCACGACGATTTTAGACTTGAGAAACAGAAAAGATACAAAAATTTAGGCTGTAACTATTCATACTTCGGAATCCCCATAGCTAGGATTGTTTAAAAAGAATACTGTCTTGGTACTCAGGAATACAGGGGCTGGTAGAATTTGAGCATATTTCTAGCTTGTTTGGCCAGGGTGCCGAAGTGGGTGTCAAGCATGCACTGGGTAATTACAATAGATTCTCATGTATTAGAGAGACTCCGTGTAAAGGATTTTCTTAAAAGGCCCCTAGGAGGGGTGCCTGGGTGGCTCAGTAGGTTGAGCAACGAACTTCGGCTCAGGTCATGGTCTCACAGTTCAGGGGTTCGAGCCCCACATTGGGCTCTGTGCTGACAGCTCGGAGCCTGGAGCCTGCTTTGGATTTTGTGTCTCCCTCTCTCTCTGCCCCTCCCTGTCATGCGCTCTGTCTCTCTCTACCTCTCAAAAATAAAGAAAACTAATAAAAAAAAATTTTTTTTAAAGGCCCCTAGGAAACACCCAATTAATACATGCCTATGCAGCCTAAGAAACAGTATTTGTTCAGAAAAATCAGAAACTGACAAAAATACACATACCCGTTTTCATCTGCAAATTAGAGTTGTAGTGGTTCTGGTTTTAGTGGTTCTGGTTTCATCCATTTCCACCCCGTCTTCCACACATGCAAACTTGGTCATGAAGGCCTCTTCTAAGTCTTTGAGGTGCTCCTCCTTACCAATGGGAAAAAGCCCACGTTCCCCAGCAGAGCACACAGGTCCCAACCCCAGTGGTCAAGCCCGTCTTCTCCTCCAGCTCCACGGCCTCACGGGCTGAAGCTAAGAGGTAGTTCCTGGATGTGCCAAGCCTATGTTATTTATTGGGCATTTACTGTTGGAGATTAGGGATTCTGTCAATATATATGCTGAAGGAACAGAAGGTAGGAAGAAAGGAATGAAGGAAAGATGAACAGATGGAGGGAGGGAGAAAAGGCAGGAACGGAAAAGAAAGGATTTCACAAGCAATTCTAACCATGGGCAGATTATCAAACCCTAGCGTATCTTTAGTTATTATGAGGTGCCTCATAAAATACTTCAATATTTATCCTGTTTGTCATAATATTTTATTTATTTATTTATTTGTTTATTTATTTATTTATTTATTTATTTAGAGAGTCACAGAGTGAGTGGGGGAGGGCCAGAGAGAGAGGGAAAGAGAGAATCCCAACCAGGCTCCACAATGTCAGTGCAGAGCCCCATCCCATGCGGGGCTTGATATCACAAAATGCGAGATCATGACCTGAGCCGAAACCATGACTCGGACGCTTAACCGAGTGAGCCACCCAGGCACCCCTATATGTCATAATATTTAAAGTAAATATGTGAACTTTTTAGGAAAGGGATATGTGAAGAGAGTCTTACCAAATTAAATACATAAGGCTAGGGCTGTGACATCAAAAACAATGGGGATCACGGTCTTATCTATTCAATTCTGTGCACGATGTATACATATTCCACATACTTTAAAATCCATCCTGCTACTTTGTCTTACATAAGCTTTCTAATCCTCTCCCTAATTCTTGCTTTATTAGTAATACTTCAGTAATTGTGTTATGAAATTAAAGATGGCATAAAATTCTCCTAATCGTGTAAGAAGTGATTTCCAAAACCTTCAACATTTGCAAAATCAAGACTAAATCGTTCTCTCTGCCCTGGATGATGTTCCCACACTACAAAGCACCCGTGTCTTGCCCAGGATGTTCCTGCCTATGCAGTGCCCCACTACCTCAAACCCTGATTAAAACTCTTGGCCAGCTGGTGCCTGAAATTTATTTGATCAAAATCAAGGAACAGCCATACTTCAAAACAAACATGGGTTCAGGGCGCCTGGATGGCTGAGTCTGTCAAGCACCCAACTCTTGTTTTCAGCTCAGGTCATGATCTCATGGTTCATGGGATGGAGCCCCACATTGGGCTCTGTGCTGAGAGTGCAGAACCTGCTTGGGATTCTCTCTCTCCCTCCCTCTCTCTCTCTCTCTCTCTCTGCCCATGCCCTACTTATGCGTTCATGCTCTCCCTCTCGCTCTCTCTCACAATACGTAAGCTTTAAAAAAAGGGGGTGGGGGTTCAAAGAGTTTTACCCAGATGAATGAATAATTCATGCCTTCTCTCCATTGATTAAAAAAAAAATCCCAATTCTTTTCAGGAGTAGCAAGGAAGGAGGCAATTATAGGTAGAGATTACCGCCATTATTATTTAGCACTTAATAGAGCACTTTATTTGCAAAATATTCATGCTTTAGAGACTTAAATTGCTTACTCTCATGCAAATAAATAGGAAGTAAAAATTGAAACCAACAGTGACTAACATAAAATAAGCATGTTTTCCCCACACATACGTTCTCACTGTCCTTGGCTGGAGAAACCAAATTCAGAGAAGCAGTATGTGGACAATGCACCAATATTAGAGATGAAGAATGTTTTCCAAAGATTGTCTCTTTGGGTTAGTGACTTGAAAATTCCAGGAATTCATGAACCTTCTAAACTACCAGTTCTAAACAAATGCGGTTCCCAAGGCCATACAAACATGTAGGGGTCTTTTTTCTCTCTGAGTTTGCTGCAACCAGTCCTTTCTTTAAGGCCATGGATGCAAATGTGATTCAGAGAAACATTCGTTTTATATACTGGGATCCTTTACAATCACAGTGATCAGGGTGTGAACTTTAAATTCCAACCGCCAGAAACAGGGAAGTTGCTCTGTAGTATGTTTTCCAAGCTGCACGTATTAACTGTTGTGAGAGGAACACTGTATGAAATGTTCTGTTACAGCATCCCTGGGTCTGCAGTTTGTGCCTATGACATGCTTGACATCGCCAATGTGTTCACTGGGAGGTTCAAAGAACAGAAGTCTCCAGATTCCACTTGGACACCAGTTCCTGACGAAAGAGTGCCCAAACCCAGGTACGTGTAAATATTTATACGACTGTTTTGAACTGCAAGAAATGGGCAGCTTGGTCCCAGACAATGAACATCTTAAGAACTGCCTACCAGCGCCTTCCATGCTGACCACGGCGATACAACTACCAGAGCAACAGAAAGATCTATCAGGCCATTTGCCTTCATCCCCTTAACCCATTCAATGACACTCTAGTCTTTTGCTTAACCTCTACCTCTGTGGCTTATCCAAGGTCATCCTAGGCTGATGGGAAGCATCTGGCCCAGCCAGCCCCACTGGCATGTGGCTGAGGAAACTGAGGCTCAGAGAGTTAGAGAGTGTATTGTGCAAGTTCACAGACTTGCGTGATCATTTGCACTACTCCACCCTTCTTCCCTTCCCTTCCACACAGACCCATGTCTCTGCAATCTAATAAAATGCAGACTATAAATGGTGATCCCTGGAGTTTGTGACCAGGCTGGATGGGAGCTGAGTCCAGGACTCCAGGGCAACGGCAGATAGAGATCAGGTTTTCCCTGGTCTACCAGGTTCTAATCTGTTTTGGATCCAGACACAGTGCATATCCCTCCACCGAAACATGCCCCCAAATCGCTTTTGTGGGGAACGTGTTGTCCCGAGACCACACGGAGACCTCCTGGTCCTATGTAACCTCCATCAAATCTTCACACTAAATCAGCTAGTTCATTCTCTCCCACCCAGACAGGATGAAACTCCACCCCCCCCCCCCCCCCCAACCCCGTGCCTGCCCTCATCATGTAGCACATGCTTCAAAATTTCATTACAACATTTGGCATCTAAGTTCCATAGAAACATCCTGTGCATCTGGCTTCCTCCATGGAATTGGTGTGCCTCTGCAAAGAAGCCCAATATCTAAACCTTTTGGTTTCCAACTCTCTCCTCCAACCTCCAATCACCACCCCCACCATACACACACACACACACACACACACACACACACACAGTAGCCCACTTCATCCAATCGAGCGGACTCAGATAACATGAACTACTAAACCCAGGGGAGAAACCTCTGAGGTTCATGCATCTTTATCACCTGAATTATCCGGGGTGTGTATATGCTCTGTTACCCACGGAGAGCAGACTAGGTACAGAAAGCACACTCTGGCAACCTCAGAAAGATTCGCTAAGTCCCTGCCTGGCATTGTGTAGCTACTTTCTAGATAAGCAGGAAGGGGAGCTAAGTTTGAGGAATGACGGTTCAGGGAGTCCTTAAATAACAGGGTCTCCTCGGTGCGTAGAGACGGCGACAGCCAGCCATCACCAGGATACATAAACTTTGATTTTCTACCGGTGGCAATGTGTTTCTCCCCGCCCTTCCACGTGCTTTCTCCCTCCTCTTGCCGACATCAGGATGGTCTCGTGGAGCTGGCTTGGTCGGTGCCACAAAAGAACGTGCACATGAGGCCAGATCACACCAGTGTTGTCAGGGTCTAGTTTTACTCTCCGGAACCCACAGGCAGAGCAGGGCTGTGGACAAGGGCTGTGGTCAGTGTTTCCCTGACCTGACTTTACTAAGTTGTCCCTTGACTCCCGAGACCACAGAGTTTCTTGTAGCAATGAATTTCCACTGTCATTGCTCAAAAATAAAGAAATGACCTTTCAGGAGACAATCTTCAGTGTAACTGGCTTTTCATATACCTGCCCAACTCAAACAAAAAATGAAAACAGTAAAAGCAAAACCCACCCGTTCTCTGACCCCCAGGTAATGAGAGAGGGTGAGGTGGAGCCCTGCTGGTATATACTGCTGCCTGGCGGCTTTATGAATGCCTTTGTTTTTGACATTTGTGGAAGCGTCAGCTAATTCTCTCTTTGTGTGGAACAAATGCCTCAAGAACTTCCAGCAGGGCTTTAGGACAGGTAGAGCAGTCTCTGGCACAGGTGCAAAGCACATACTTCCTCACTTGCTTTAAGCTCCCATCACTGTTTATGAGGTTTGTTTGTGCTTCTGGGGGGAAGCCAAGCTGCCCCCAGCTGATGCTGAACTGCCCTGGCTGGAGCTTCTCTATGGAATGAGGAGGCGGCAAGGAGAAAATCCAAGCATATTTTTTTGGTGGCATTCTGCATTGTTCAACTTCCTCTTCTCAGCCTACGGTACATTCTCCTGCATGCCAGATGCTTAGGGAAGCAGTTCGTTCAAAGAATTTGCCATAAGGCACAAAATAAGCTCCCTCCCTTTGTCTCTTTTTAGGCCAGGTTGCTGCGCTGGCTCATTGTCCTTAGAAAAATATGCAACCTCCAATGAGTTTCCTGATGATACCCTGAACTTCATCAAAACGCACCCACTCATGGATGAGGCTGTGCCTTCCGTCATCAACAGGCCATGGTTCCTGAGGACGATGGTCAGGTGGGTGTCAAGCAAATCATGTCCTAAGTGGATCTTTCCCTACTCTGTCCCATGCTCATAAAACCTATCAGTGGACCATGATTTGAAATGCCACAAACATCTTCTGTTATCCTGGGCATTGATTCAGCTGTGAAAGGCTGGCCAGTTGGGTGCCTGCCACAAAACCCCCATAACCACATTCCCAGTGGGTAGAGTTTTGATATTTTCAGGCTAACTGGACACATGCCAGCGATTAGACGTAACGAAAATATCTCCTTCCGGGTTAGCCTATTCTGTGCAAAAGCAGAGAAGCAGTGAAGGAGAACCAGTCAATGGCTGTGGATACCTGTTTGGTTGGACATGGTTGCAAAACATGCTCCAGATTCCATCGGAGTATTGCCCCTGGGTTGTTAGCTGTCAGGCCAGGGATGAACGGCACACTTGGACAAGAATGATGGTGTGAGGGATTCATACTGCACCATTTGTAACCTCAAGTGGTGGCCAGAAGAGAGGGGACAGTTGACTAGAAATCTGTGATAGTGTTAAATTCTCCTTCTTGTAATCTAGACCTTATTTCCAAATGATCCAGCAGGATTTCCCAAGTACCACCCTGCAGTGGCCGTCATCAAACAAAATGTCATTCAACCCTACCACCGTTTTTACTTTAAGTAGGCTCCATGCCCAATGTGAGGCTCAAACTCATGACCCTGAGATCAAGAGTCGTGCACCCAACTGGCTGAGCCAGCCAGGGGTCCCACCACCATTTTTACACAGTGATTTTACTGAAAGATATTAGAGTATTACAATGGCTCTTGCCCATAAAATGAAAACTGTGGTATATAACTTGCAGGAGGGTTCATGTTTTCTGGTTTCTGCCATGGTGCTTGGCACAAATCAGTATCCGTGGCATGGTGAACAGCTGAGAGGTACCAGAGAAAGATGATGCCCTTTACCTTTGGCTTTAAGTGGACCTTGTTTGGCTTGTACATCCTCATATCAATTAAAGGTGTCATCAGCACCCTACCTGCCCATCCTTGAGAACTGTCAGCCCCTCTACACACACTTGGAAAGCTTTCCAGTCTGACATTTCGTTGACAAGGCTTTGCACCTCCAAGGAAGAGTATGGAAAACTGGTAGCCGTGCTCTTCTCTTCCATGTGAACTGAAATGTTAAATGAGTTCCATTATCATTTCTTCCCCTCTTCACGGGACACATCAGCCTTTCCCTGGTGCTCATGGAAGAGATAATTGCTGAGTGGTTTCAGATGGTTGGGCTGTCTCTTTGCTCTGTAACTTGGCCTCCGCAAATGCATACCTCCTTCCTCCCCTTGGAGCCACACTAATGCTCCACATATGGAAATAAAGGACCAGAACAGCTTGAGAACATTATCTATATGCATACATTTTTCTTGAGGTCATTACTAGAAAGCGAAGTCACAACTGTTTGAAGTGGAAAAGGGGACCCCTGAATGACAGACCAACAAAGATAAAAACTGTGATCCTGTCATCTTAGATACCGCCTGACCAAAATTGCAGTGGACAGTGCTGCTGGGCCCTATCAGAATCACACTGTGGTTTTCCTGGGATCAGAGAAGGGGATCATCTTGAAGTTCTTGGCCAGGATAGGAAACAGTGGTTTCCTAAATGACAGCCTTTTCCTGGAGGAGATGAGCGTTTACAACCCTGAAAAGTACGTAGACTGTTGGGCTCTTTCTTAGTCATTCTTTGTCACTGTGATCCTTTTCATTCAAAGGAAAATCTGAGAAGAGCAGACTTCAGTTGTCTAAGCCTTTAGGAGGCTTTTAGTATTGTTCGGCGGGGGGGGGGGGGGGGGGGGGAGGGCAGAAAGCATTATTTTTCTCTTTACCAATAAATGTGCGTTTATATAGAGACACACCACACAGGGCCAGGGAGGGGGGCATCTTTAGGATCTGTTTCACCTTCAGTGAGATCAGATTAAGGGATCACCTTGTGGGCCGGGAGGCAGGGTGGCCAGAAAAAGAGAACTGACTCATGATCCTGCCTTATAAAATCAGGTGCAGCTACGATGGGGTAGAGGACAAGAGGATTATGGGCATGCAACTAGACAAAGCCAGCAGCTCTCTGTACGTTGCATTCTCCACCTGTGTGATAAAGCTTCCCCTGGGCCGCTGTGAACGACACGGGAAGTGTAAAAAGTATGTATTTTGCCTCCCCGACCATGAGAGGGCACGGTGCTTAGAGGGGAGTCCGGGGTAGCTCATGGTCATCTTTTTCCTGCAGAACCTGTATCGCCTCCAGAGACCCATACTGTGGGTGGGTAAAGGAAGGAGGTTCCTGTGCCCATCTGTCACCCAGCAGCAGGTAAGGAACCGGAGGTGTGGAAAAGCGTAAAGTGGCCCCCAGCCGCGGTGCGTTCTAGATGTACGATTGACTGTGCTCTCGCACGCCGCTGCCATTCAGCCTTCTGTGCACAGACCTCATCAGTGGGGCTGCTGGCGGTCCTCCTGCCTCTCCCCATTTCATGCAACACCCCGCCATCACATGTGGCAGATTTCCGATTGATTAATCACCCATCCTCAGACTGATTAAAAACACAGAGAAACGAAACACTGTGGGCTTCTAAGTATTCCCTGGAGAGCGGGACAAGAAGATGCACGCCTTGATCACTGCAGCATAAGAGCAGCAGAGAAAAGGAGCAGGAGGGTACCAATTAGATTAGTGCTGCGGTTTGCCCAGCCACAGCAAAAGTGACTCCTCTAATTGACCATGCAAGGCCGAGAAGAGCTCACGGAGCATTTGTTAAGCGACGCATTTGTACTGCAAGTATGGCATATGCATCCAATAACCCATTCTCTTGCACTGAGGAACAGTTGACCCTATTACTCGTTAAGGAGCCAATCAATTCTTGGCAGCTCTCCAACAGATCAGCTAGATCGGGCCAGCCTATCGCACCTGTGATTTGGGTGCTTAAAATTGTTACCCTGACTTTAAGGGCTTGAATGGCATTAGTTAAAAGGTTTCTTTTCGTTATTTTAGTGGATGTGAAATCCAGTGCACGTCTTTTGACAAGTTATGGCAACTCAAGGAAGGTGCCATACGGCAGGACAGTTCTGTCTTAGCCATTCCGTCACGTTCCCCAGGTCTTCATGGCACTCTGGACCTCTCCTATCTCAGAATAGCTAGACAGACAGGAGGGCACATCTGATGACTGCCACAGGCAAAATTTGAGGGAAAGTATTCCCACAAGCAGAGCCAATGATAATTGTGAAGTCTGACTTGGAAATCTGACTAATGTGAAGGGTCAACTCACTATGTATCACTATATCAGCTCCACAAGTAGCAATATTGACATACTAGAGCTTTGTATCTTTTCATGGGGACCCTCGAAATGAAGGAGAAAAGATCTCAAAGCACAGGAGGGGAAGCTAACAAATGACCTATCTCCTTTCTACATTCAAGGTGTGACCAAAGGTAGTAAGACTGACTTTTAAAAATCATTTTTAAGTCGGGGTGCCTAGGTGGCTCAGTCGTTGGTCATCCGACTTCAGCTCAGGTCATGATTTCATGGTTCGTGGGTTTGAGCCCTGTGTCGGGTTCTATGCTGACAGCTTGGAGCCTGGAGCCTGCTTCAGACTCTGCGGTCTCCCTCTTTCTCTGCCCCTCCCCTGCTCACGCTCTGTCTCTCTTTCTCTTTCTCTCAAAAATAAATAAATATTAAAATATATATGTATTTTTTAACCTGGGTGGCTTAGTCAGTTAAGCCTCTGACTCTTGATTTCAGCTGAGATTACGATCTCACGGTTCATGAGATCGAGCCCCCAGGTCGGGCTCCAGGACGGGCATGTAGCCTACTTGGGATTCTCTCTCTACCTCTCTCTCTCTGCCTCTCCCCTGCTCACGTGTGCACTCTCTCTCTCTCTCTCTCTCTCTCTCTCTCTCTCAAAACAAACTTTTAAAAATATCACTTTTAAGTCAATATGTGAATGCCAAAATTGTTCCCTTAAGGATTTACATATATATTTCATTGCTTAAAACATGGTGGAACTCTCCTTGAAGAGTGGTCTTCAGGGACTGAATACTGGCTTTCACTACCACTGAAAATCCTTATCCTTTGAATATGAATTTGATTTTTAACATAGAAAAAAAAAACACTGGAAAACAAACATGGTGTATTATTAGATCAAGGTGTGACTTTCAAGCTACTTTTCCTATATGGTCCATAAAATAAACTCTAAAGGCAGCTGCAAAACAGAGTTTCAATTACGTCGTGAGAGGCGGTACAGAGTTCTCCCCCAAAAGGACAGTTCTCCCATGGATGATTCCAGTGTGCTTGTTTTAAAAATCAAAATATATATATTAAGATTGGTCTTGTTATAAAGCTCGTTCAGCCCGACGGTGACCAAGGAGACTTGAAAGAAAAGTCAGCATGAGGGTAATACTCCAGAGTCACAGGGCCACAGAGTCTCAGGTGGTCTCAGCCAAATGTACCACAATGTCCCATCCCCTCAAGGGAGCTCCGTACCCACCAGCCAGTTGTTCCTTTGAACACTTTCTCATATAGGTTATTTCTGGGCAAGAAAATAAAGGTCTAGGAAGGCAGTGCTGGGGTCAAACAAAAAGTACAGAGCAAAAGACCTTTTCTTTTTTTTAATTTAGAGACTTCTGTATCACTTATAAAGAGTTATGTTGACATTTAAACTTTTTAAATGCTTAAGAGATGCTCAATCTGTAAAAGAAGGATATAAATAATCTGCAAACTAATTAACTCCCTGAATAATATCAGAATTAACTGCTCAAACCACGGAGAGTCACAGAAGACTCATTTCTGTAAACTTCGGAGACAAATTTTCAAGCTGTTATCTACTTCTTGTTTCTGCACCTGCTGCTCAAGTTATCAAACTGTGTTGGTTTCTTTAGTGAAACTTCAGACTCATTCTGGAGTAACAACTCATGATGTTGAATTTGTTTCTTTCTCTCTTTTTTTTTTTTTTTAAGACTGACTTTTGAACAGGACATAGAACGTGGCAACACAGATGGCCTGGGAGACTGTCACAGTAAGTAAAGCTTTTTATCCACGCACATCTTGGTGCAAAGACCCTTTTATCGGACGGCCTAGAAACGTCACCCCACATGTGGCCCTAGTGCGGCTGGCACAAAAATATGCATAAGTAACAGAAATCATCTTCTACACATCAAATCAAGGAAACAGCATGTTATGAAGCCAGTGTTGTCGATGTCGTTGCTACAAATGCTGGCGCCTATTCCACGGTTACAGTGCTGTGGAACAAATTCACTCTAGAGGATAGTAATTATATCAGAGCAGTAAGTTAGATCAACATTTCCATTAAAAAAAACTAGTTTCAAAAAACGTGTTTTTACCCCGTAATTTTTAACTAAATAATAAAAAGACTGATTGCTGTACTCTAGCTTCTTAATTGAATAGGAGTGTTTTGTTCTTCTTGAACTTATCGACTAACAAAAGTAATTATTTTTCTAATGAGATTTATGTCTATTACCATTTGCAGTAAAGAAAATTTTCAGAAAGAACCCACTCAAGTAAAGGGTGACTCAAAATAACCTTTTTATAGGAATTAACCTTTTATGCTTAGCCCCAAGTTCATTTCCAAAATTATTAAATGGTAACATTTTAGTTGGAACTTAGTATAAAAGGTCCTGGTCAAATGTTTGCCCAGTTGTCCTGCGATCTGATTAGTATGGGTATTCTCCTGAAAATGTTTATTCATGCTAATTTAAAGAATTCCATTCTCTTAGAAAATACTTAGTTTGCAGTGTTTTAAATCTTTGAGCCATAAGTACTGAAATTTCTGACTCTAAGGTACCATTCAACTTTCTACCGTATCTTTTTTTGGAGATCAACTATAACCAAAGAGGGCTATGGGCATCCTCATCTCCAAATTTTTTGCTGTATTTATTTTGTTTCCAAATATTCAATATTGGCAAAAGCTTCTTCTAATATCTTCAAACACAGAATTTATTGAGTTCAGAAATCAACACGGGAGACAGTGGCATCACCAAAAGATCTGTGTTACTTGTGTGCAGTGAGACAGTTTGAGGTTTGATCAGTGGCTCTCAATCACATTGGTGCCTCATGGCTCCATTTTCAGGGAAACAAGTTTCAGTTTGTGCATGTGTCTATGTGAGCGAACTTAAATTAGCTGACTTCAGTGAATAATTTGCTTCATATTTTTAGGATCTGGTGGTATGGGCATCTGTAGAAAATAGGAGAGTCAACGGGAACTGAATAACTAAACACGTGAGAAATGTGAAAATGGTTGTTAACTGTCTCTATCACGTGTCCACAACACCAGTAGGGCTCACACCACATGTGTGTGTTCGGGCCAAGGAACCTACGGAAGCCTCTGTATCTAACACGGGGGAGATCCTCAGGCCCCAAGCCAGCGATTTACTCTTCAATCTCAGTGTTCAAGCCTCCGTGTTTTTGTGTGCTTCCTAACCTTGAACTCTATTACCGGTGCAACATTTAGGGTGCTGGCTTAGGGCAGGAGGTACACTTGACCTTCTGCTGCCTTTCCTAGTGGCTTCTCTGCTCTTTGTGCTCCTGCTGGAGTATGACCTGCTTCTATGAGACACATCTATTCACACAGAGGCACACAGAGGGTTCAGATAACTGGTGCACGGTGACTCTTGAACAGGATTGTAAAGGGAAATGGGGGAATCATGAAGAGTTGGTGTCAGAGTCTGGGTAGCAAGCAAGCTAAATGAGCCAGCGATAAGACCCAGACACATGCACATGTGTGCGTTGCCTATACGTGTATATGAGTATTTTTATTTTTGTTTTTAATTTCCCAATGAAAACCTATGATGAATTCAGAACATTGTGATACTGGACAGTTCCTTACAGCATGGTCGAGAGGATGAAATGAGAGAGAATATAAAGAAAACTGTTTTGCAAGTGTGGTCCGAGTGTCACTTATTTCGCCCACATACACACCCCACTGTACAGAGTAAGGCACATAGAATGGCAGTTCCCATTGTTTCTACAAACTCTAGCTTTTTCTTTGAGTCTTGAAAACAAAGGCAGTGACTCTGAGGAAACTCACTCGGAAAAGAGAGAGGAGGATATGAAATCGGACCCAGTACGAAGCGTCTTGTATTACAAGCAGAAATTAAAAAGCATTTACTTAGTAGTGGGGATCATATGTTAGCATAATTCTGTATAAGCTCATTCCTACTTACGATGTAAGTCACACTAAGCACAGTGTTACACATTAAGTAACCTTCTCCTCCCTTTTGTCTTCCAGATTCCTTCGTGGCCCTGAATGGTAAGGAAGATATTACTCATGATTTAATATCGATGGAAATCTATGTGGGAAATCCTCTTCCACTAATCCTCTTGAGTATTTTCAAACCTTAGGTTTCTTTTTTAATTAATTTTTTATCCTCATTATTTTTTTTATAGACATTTCAACTCCTCTTCCAGATCATGAAATGTCTTACAACACAGTATATGGTCAGTTTATAGATTTTTTTTTTTTTTTTTTTTTTTTTTTTTTTTTTGTAATTTTAAGCCACTCATCCTGTGGTAGTTTATAGTTTTCATCCCTAAACATCACGGACCAGATTCTTTGTTACTTCAGGGCCCCAATTCACTAAAATTATTTCTTAATTTCACAGTGCTTCAAAAATCACTCTATGAGAGACAACTGACGTATGAGACTGGTTCCTACATTTTTAATCCACATAACGTGAAATTTGCCAACCTTAGGGAATTCGGTGAATATGTTTAATGAGTTCTTGAGGGAGAAGTAATTGCTTTTGGACACAAATTTATCCAAGATAAAAGAACAGTACTTGTAACTAATAGGCTGTAGCTCTTGACTGGTAACAATACCATTCCCTAAAATGCTGACTTTCAGGGCAGTAACCTCTGCAGGGGAAAAAAAATCTAGACATCATGCAGACACCAGCCCTTACTAGGCAAACCTTTCCAATATCACATGGAAATTAGCCATCGAAATTTAAGTTCACAAAGAGTATGACTATTTAGACATATTTTCAGTGACAGTTCTTCAGAATGTATATAGGGAGGAGTGGTGTGGGGGGAATGATGTGCAAACAGGATTCCTCCCATTGTTTCCACTCTGAAATACACACTGTATTAAACAAAGCCATGAAGTCCATAAATAAAACATTCTGAGTTCTTTAGAAGACAACTTTAGAAGTGCACCACTACCGTTCTCAGAGTTCTCCCTAATGTTTGCGAGGATAAACCATTCGTGTATTTTTTAATGTTTATTTATTTTGAGAAAAAAAGACCGAGCGTGAGTGGAGGAGAGACAGGCAGAGAGAGGGAGAGAGAATCCCCAGCAGGTTCTGTTGTGTCAGCGCAGAGCCCTATGTGGGGCTCAATCTAACGAACCTCAAGATCATGACCCGAGCTGAAAGCAAAAGTTGGAGGCCTAACCGACTAAGCCACCCAGGCACCCCCGTGTGCTTTTGAAATATAATATAAAAACACATGTGATGGTAGATTTAATAAGCTTTGCATTATAATGGGGACCTAAGAGTTTCACAGATGCACATTTTATAGTTTTTGTGTTAAAAATCTGTAACAATTACAGTTCTAGGATGGTGTTTGTAGAGGTAACAAAGGAAGGGGGAAACAGGGAAAGAAAAGAGAGCAAGGCAGGTTTAGAATCTGAAGAAATAGTTCAAAATAGTTCAAAATAAACAAACGTGTTTAATAGCGCTATGTCCACTCTTCCTCTCTGTGTCTAATTGGCGTAAATAAAAAGCCTCTTTGAAAGTACTAAAGACCATGTGGTCCTAAATGAGCTAGCTGTGCATTTATGGAAAACAATGCCTGGTTTCTCCTTCCTGTTCTCCTGGTGGAGGGAGGCAGTGGGGAGCAGACGAGTCCACAGAATTCATCCACCTTTAGCCTTCTCTCATCTGTGACTCAAGCCAGTATACTGAAGACCAGCGACAAAGAAAAATTTCTCAGGAGGCAGATGTCATCTAGCTTAGCTCGCCCGTCAACAAGAGAACCCACTTAGCATCTACTCTCCTCCAATATCATACTCTGCAATCACTTCCTGTAATTGAATAATCTTCATCAGATATTGAGAAATCCAGGTCTTAAGTCTAATTGAACCAGCAACCTCCCTAGCATTCATCAACTGGACAAAGACCAATTTTAACTCCCAGGTAATTTCTCAAATAAGAAAGAATAATCAAACCATGGGATGCTTTTTGTGAACAAAAATCACTCTCCAATCTATGCTTCTCTCTTATTTCCTTTACAAAAGGAAAAGAACTTACTAATTCCTCCATATTAACACATGAGGCCTGTTCGTCCTCAGCTCTTGATCAGTGATTTCTGTGATGAAACTAAAGAAGAGCTGGACTTTTCCTTAATGATCCGGTCCGTTTTAGGCTAATTCCATCCAGTGTTAAGTGGTTAGATGATTGACCGCCAAAATGAGAACTCATCCAGACAGTACTTACGAAAGAAAACACAGAGACTTTCTTTTCACAAACTATTGTAAGAAATGCTTACTTTGCCGTTAGAAAACCTAGAATAGATTTAATTCACTCAGCAAATACGTGTTGAGTGCCTTCTGTGGTGCCAGGCACTGGACTAGACACTGTATTTCTCCCATCAAAGGAGGGACCAATGGGGCGCCTGGGTGGCTCAGTCAGTTAAGCGTCCAACTTTGGCTCAGGTCACCATCTTGTGGTTCGCTAATTCGAACCCCATGTCGGGCTCTGTGCTGACAGCTCAGAGCCTGGAGCCTGCTTCAGATCCTGTGTCTCCCTCTCTCTCTCTCTGCCCCTTGCCCGCTCACACTGTCACTGTCTCTCACTCCCTCTCTCTCAAAAATAAACATTAAAAAAAATTGTTTTTTAAAAAGGAAGGACCAAATTACTATTTTTATCTGCATGGATATAGACTAGGAAGCCAACCACAAAGTCCAAAATACACCCACTGTTTCCAGCTGTGTCCTTTGCATGTCCCCATAAAATGTTCAGGGGCTGAGTGCAGGTTCATAAAGAGAGCCACAAAACTCAAACTGCCTAACCCAGAAAAAGGAATCATTACAATAAACCACGCAAACTCTCCGCTTGGCAAAAGTTCTGTGCAACACCAGTTACATATGTGAGAACCCCCTTTTTAGTGAATTGGACCCTGACTATTTTCCTTCTTTCTCCCTTTCTTGTATTGATTTAATGTCTCTTGTTTTGTGTCTAATTGGCTACAGTCATTGTTAATAAGTATAGTAGTTTAAAGGGTCTCTAACCTCTGGAATCACAAAGACTTGTAGATATAGAGAAACAATATGATGCATATTAAAGTTAACTTCTAAAATCTATCTATTTCATTATATATTATAAGAATAATATATCAGGGGCACCTGGCTGGCACAGTCAGTAGAGCGTGCAACTCTGGATCCTCAGGGTCGTGAGTTTGAGCCCAACACTGGGTGGAGAGCTTACTTCAAAAAAAAAAAAAAAAAAAAAGAAGAAGAAGAAGAAGATGTCATAAGGTCCACTGATTAAAATATGACCTTTCACAGTGGATTAACAAGACAAAATTATAGGTTCCAAACCTACTGACTTGTAATACCGTATCTACAAATGACTGCCTATTTTTGTAGCATGATTTTGGTTGCAGAGTCTCTTAATGAATGCACAAAAAATTATATAGCCTGTAGCGTCAGACGTTAAAAAGGAAGATAAGTGATTTCCTTTTAACGTGTTTAAGTTCAGAGAAGTAGCAATACTAATACACCTCTTTGATTTCAAACTAAGGACTGCTGTTTAATGATGCTTTTACAAGGCAGTCCTAAAACTTTTGAGAATTTCTTTGACTCTAATTCACCAGTGGCACGTGTTACCTGTCCTCACACATAAGTTCCAAAGAATACAAACCTCATGCTGCTCGACTTTTTTTTTTTTTTTAATTTTGAGTACATTGGATGCATGGTTTCTCTAGATTTACATATAGAAAATGGGGATGTGGTGGGTATTAGACTAACGCTTCAGCCATAGGAAGGAGCTGATTTCTCACATTTGTGTAAAGCATTTTCCTACCTAACTACCATCTGGTCCACATTAATTTCCTCTCATAGCCATAGCTTTCCATTACCAATGAGTTTTCCATGTATTTGCAGCATATGGTCCAGGAAATCTTTCGACGGAGAATGTGTCCCTTAGGCATATATTTCCCCTAGATTACCGTATTAAGAAATGTTCTCCCTAAACCATACTTAGGGCATTACCATAAAATTGCCCCTTGAACACAGTTAAATTGAAAGCACTCAAAATGCATATCAATTCAGGTAAAAGAAATTCTTGCTACTTGGAGAAAAGGGTTTGTTTGGTTTTTTTTTTCCTTCCCGCCTTTCTAACTCCCTACAAAGCAATGTCTCATTGTTTGCTTATGCTGGGTGCTGAATGCTCTCTTAGGCTGGCCATATATTTTGTTAGAGCGGTGCAGAATTCAAGAGTAGAAAACGGAGGCTACATTTTAGACCTCAGTATAAGCGAAAAAGAAATAAAAGAAATTCTGTATTTCCAAGTCCAGGTTAATTTCCCTACCTCTCTGTTCTCTTATCAGCACTGAGATGAGAAGCAAAACCCAGAAATGTAAAAAAATAAAAATTAAAAAAATAAAGTCTAGGTGCAGGCATTCCTGAGTTTGAAATGAACATGTTCTTAACAGTTGGATATAAACCAGACTTTGTGCAACAAAGCTGATGTCTGAGGCTGTGCAGAAGCCAAACAAACTCTACATAGAAAGCGGTTTCTTAAATGTTACTCAAGTTCTGTGGTGGCATTTAAGGGTGGTGCTTCCAGAGAAATCAACATAGCTTAGGTGAGCCACCTAGCTTCCCTGCTTCTTCCCCGCCATCTTTTGAACAAAATGTTGCCTGTCGCGTGCAGTATTAAATTCTCCTGGGAATCCAACTTCCCATGCTAACGGTAAAACAGAAGAATGCAGAGTATTGCTCATTCTAATCTTTCTTTCTGGTCACCAGTATTTTATCGAACACATACGTGGTGATCACAGCCCAAGGCTGGAACCACTTGTGAATCCACCCTACCTTCTACCAGAGGCACCGGTTACAAATTCGCAGTAGTTGCCTTGATACCTTTTTAAACATTGTTCGAGAGGCTGCTATAGGTAAGACAGTTTCATAGACTCTACTCGGAAATCACAGAGAGGTAAAGTTTTCTTTCTCCAAGAGAGAACAGGTAGTGGGGCTTCTTGAAATCATCGTGACAGTTCATACCAGAGCACCTGGTGCCACTTGTATTTAGCCTTGTGGCATGATGGGAGGAAAGCAGAGGAATGTGTTCACAGGAAAAATCCAGAGTGTCGGCCCTAACTCCCAACCTGGCCATTCTTTTTCTGATGTTTTCCTGTGGTAGGCTACTCTGGATCCCCAAAAGCTCTCCCTTTCTAATCTGAATCACGTCAGTCAGTGTGGCCTCAAGAACAACCTTTACGAGGTAGGAGTCATGAGACCGTGAAACTGGCTTTGCTGGAATGACACACAAAAGGCACAGCCAGAGCAACAAGGGGCGGCTGACGCTGCCATCCCAGGGAACCCGTGGTGGAGGCAGGTGGGCACTTCTCTCAGAAATAGGAAGTTTATGAGGCCAAGTCGAAGCTGAAAACCAGACACGCCCTCCGTGAGAAAGACTCAGGACAGCGGCACTGTTTGTAACACTACCATGCACCTGCCCCGCCAGTGACACATGGTGACCCCCCCAGAGCAGACCCGTCCCACCTTGACCAGTGCTGAGGGAAGACCGAAGCCGGACACTAGGACTTCTTGAGCGTGTTCTGTGTGTCGGACACTGCTGGGTGCTTTCACCACCACGTCGCTTCTATCCTCCCAACGCGGGGAGGGAAGCAACATGCCCACTTGGCGCACAAGGAAAACGAAGGCCCGGAGAGATTGAGGGAGTCTCCCAGGCTCACCCAGAGAGCAGCCCAGATAGGATCTGGCCCTTCATCCTCTAACAGCCAGGGCGGGGAGTCTCCTGCTGAACCCCAACCCCTCAAGCCTGTTCTTTCTCAGGCCGTCTCCTTTCAGGCTTACCGCCGGCTCGGGTGTCCCGCTCTTGGCCTCTGTGCCGAGGAAATGTGGGGGTCTCCGCTGATGCTCTCCCTAACTGTATTTATGATGAAAACAGGGCACTCCAGTTCCCTCTTGCCCAGCACCACCACATCGGATGCAGCGGCTCAAGAGGGGTATGAGTCTAGGGCGGGAAAGCTGGACTGGAAGGACCTGCTGCACTCACCCGACAGCACAGACTCTTTGGGGGCGGTGTCTTCCCGTAATCACCAAGACCAGAAGGGTAAGGCCTTGGAAATGCCTCTTCCTCGGTGGGGCGAGGGAGGGAAAAGTGAGGAGGGCTGTGTAACTGCTTCCAGCTGAGCCACAGCAGCATCTCAGGCACCCCCAGCACACGATGCTCCCAAGCTTCCTCAAAAAACACCTCTCTGCACCAGGCTCGATCCTAAATTATACCCCCAGCGAGGAGAAACCACACAAAACAAATAACACATCCTTCTGAGGTTCCTCCATCCCAAAGGGGAGCAGCTTGGCCCAGTGCAGATCCTCCCCCCACCCCAGCTCCTCTGAGCTCAGGCCTCAACGCTGGGTCCTCTTCTCCCATTCCCTAACTGGATGGAATGCAGGGCCGGCCCCGGCGTGTGCATGTCATCAAAGTAAAGGCCCGTTTTAATGGGTGAGTGGAGAAAGCAGGGCAGAGCCTTTTCTGGCTGGTGGCATCTCTCACTCGCACGTGGTGCTGAATTTGAATAGAGCCGCGGTCCTGCAATGTACTGTAATTGCCCTTTGAGGACAACAGCTAAGACAAAAATATGTTATTTAATCAAGCAGAATTGCTATGCATTTAAAATGGAAAGGAAGCTGCACTCAATGAAAGGGACTCTACTGTGAACTGTCCTAAATTCTCCCCTGCTTTCTTTGCTCAACTAGAGACAGGAAATGTCCTCTTCTTTTCTCGCCAGTGGCTGCTTCTGGTAACACATCCTACTTTAGCTGCAGCTGCAACCAAAGAGGCCTTTACTTGTCCAAAAAACAGTCTTGTAAATCAGAGACTGAAAAGCCCAGTTATGTTGCGAGCTGTTTCCCCTCATTCAGAATTGTTCACTTCTATATGTTTTCAAGGGTTTCATCCAAGCAAGGGTTTGAGTCTCGAGGACGGACCAGCCATGATGACCCTTTGGAAGACCGTCTGTCATGTCTTCCCTCAGGGTTTTCTCTATACGTATTTCCACCTTGACTTTTAGATGATGTTTTCCAGGCAGACTCACATGCTCAATTTTCACCCTCTTTTTTGCAACTCACGTCGTGAGAGTGCCATACGCTCTGCTGCTCTACGTGCTAAAAAGTGAAGATTGTAGCCCTTTTAACTTGTGCTCAAGCACGTTCCCATAATCACTTTGATTATTCTTCTATAACTTTTCATATTCCCTGGCCCAAATCTTAAAAACAGCAGCTTTTGTCTCAGCAGCCTCTTGAAGTTGGAGGCATCCCTCCCTTTACCATTCCCTAGAAAGCGCCAAGGTCCTCAGTGGTGGCACAGAACTATCACATCAGGCCACGAGCCCTAGCATGTGCCATTATTTGTTATGTGTGGCTCCAGATCGCAGATGTGGGAGTCTTGGCCGAGTCCTCAAGAAGAGACGGCTCTGTAAAATTGCTTCGTGTTTGCCCACTGCCAACTTTCTGAAAAACCAAACGGCCTTTCCAGTAAAGCATTAAATATGTCAGCCAAATATCTAGCTGTTGGTTACAATCATTTCCTCTTCACTTCACTGAGACGGGTGGCATGAATCTTCTCCAATCGTTAACTCCCCCAAGGGATGGAGGTTATCAAAGAGTCCAATTAACACTTTGACAGATCATTTTAAAATTCGGCATTGTTCATTCTCTTGGGTCTTATTATGAATATTGACAAAGCTGGAAGCAGTCTACAAATTGTCAGACAATGGTGGCAGAGGTGATTGCATGGGTGTTTAACATGATCACTGTTCTTGTGCTATTAACTCCTTGCCTTGCCCTGTCAAATTCGAGTTTGGTTTTTGACAATTGATTATGTTTTTGATGGGGCAATGACAACGGGTTGTTATGCAGAAAAAAAAATTTTTTTAATGTAGCTTAATGTTCCTTTTACCATGATTTTTATGATTTTAATTTCCATTTTGCTCTGAATTGTTTTTCTGTTTTAATGTTCACGATTTATTTCAAACTTCTGTTCTGTTTTGCCAAGCACTGTGTGGTTGGACTTGGTGATGGCGTTCCTCTGTTGGAAAAGTCCAGTTTCTTTTCTGACTCATTATGACGTCCCTTAGCCTGGCCCAATCTGTGATCTCCTCGCTTCTTCTCATTCCCTGATGTGGGTGCCTTAATGATGTCACATCCGTGTGTGCAGCATCTCCTGGGATGCGAGGGTTTCCTGGGTTTTGCGAGGGCCTCTGGCAGGTGCTCTTTTCACTGGGTCAATTGTCTCATGGGAATGTGACATTTGTGTGCCCCAGCTTTAGGAGCTAAATATACTCTGGAATTGTTTCTAAAATATCACACATTTCCCCGCTAAGCAGAAAATGTGTCCCGCTCACCAGCTAGCTAAGGAGTCAAGTGTCCCATGCCTTTTTTATTCTGGCTGAATAAAGGCCAGTGAGCAAAGGAGCCCACAGCTCTGCTCTGCAGACATGGTGAACACCACTGGGCTGGTCCCGCTCTGCCCCACCTCATCCTCCAAAAGATGCTGCATTTCCAGAGTATGTTTGCTTGCTGTTTTCTTTCTTTTCCTCGCTGTGTCTTTCGTCCTGATTTAATCCTGTGCGTCCCTCACATTCTGTCAAAGCACCAATCCTCACCTTGCAATCTAACCCCCTTCTGCTACCATTGTTCTCAGCCTCCCCCTTTCAAAATAATAGACCCAAGCCCTCTCTCTGCCCTTCTGTGGAATGTTCCAAGGCTCTTTCCTTCTACACTGTAAGTAGCATTCTGAGGCTGTATGTACACATACAGGCATACTAACAAAGCGTGAGAAGAGGCCTGTGAGGCTCGGAGAAGCATTATCACAGAAAATGAAGTAATTTTCTCTCTCAGTAACTGGCCTTGCCCTTCATTACCCTACTGGCCTTGTCTAATGTCTCTTGTCCTTACTGCTTTTCTTTAAAATTGCCTGATATCTTTCAAGCCCTAGATTCATTAGTAAAAACACAGCCAACTGCACTGTTTTATCTCTGGGTCCCTAGATGTCTGGAGCCGCTAGAGCCAGCCCTTTAATCACCAAGTTGATAAATTGGATGCAGCCCTGGCTACTTCTTTCTTGGTTTTGCCACATTTAAAAATATATATTATTTATTCATCTTATAACCATTGAGGTGGTAATGAGTAGTTACAAAGGGGCTCTAATTACATATGAATAAGAAAGAAAATCCACTTTATTTTTAGATCTGGCTTGTCTCCCCCCACCTCCCTTTCCACAGCAAAAGAAATAAGAGCTTTCTTTTTTAGGTTAGGCAATACTGAAAATTAATAGCCACTCTTGTGCCTCTTGTTTCTGACCAATAGTAATAATACTATAAAACCTTATTTCCAAGAAGACTGGAAGATACGTGAGGGAATTAGCCATGTACCGATCTGCCAAGAAAGCTGCGTAGCGTCAATATAACATGTAAATGCTGACCACTGGTGTTAGGTCCCAAGAATAAATCAGAACAGAAGGAAATCCCCTACTTCAGACTTGTGAGAGTTCTCGTGAGCTGTCAGAAAACAGATAAAATGGTCAACCTATACAGAGATGTTCCCATTTGAGTGGAAATGCCAGCACTGTCGTATGCTTATATATTTCGGTATACCTTTAAAGTGAGATGTCACCAATTACATTTAGTCAAGAGGATACACTCACTGCAGACAAGAAAAAGAGGTAGAAATAGAATTTAAATGTGCGATCAAATGAATAATTTAAACCAAAACATACAGTAGATGCTGAGTATGTTTTAATCAATGTACAAGCTATCTGTGTGAGCAATTTTACTTGGGGAAATAATATTACAGTAAGATACATAAAGTATGATGAGGAGTATATTGCCCACCCTTCCTCACAATCCTGAATAGAATTTTTTTTTTCTTTTTAAAAAAATTTTTTTAACATTTATTTATTTTTGAGAGACAGAGAGAGAGCATGAGCAGGGGAGGGGGAGGTGGGGGGGGAGACACAGAATCCAAAGCAGGCTCCTGGTTCTGAGCTGTTTGTTAGCACAGAGCCCGACGCGAGGCTCTAACTCACAAACTGCAAGACGGTGACCTGAGCTGAAGTCGGACGCCTAACCGACTGAGCCACCCGGGCGCCCCCCTGAATAGAATTTTCTAAAATCACAGAGTTTATCAACAATTCCTCCAACGCAGGGTCACCTACAGCAGTAGGGCCCCCCCCCCCCCCCCCCCCAAGTAGGACATGCGGCACCTTACAAGAGATGATTTAGGTGCCTCTGGTGATCCTGGCATTGAGAGTACTGAATCCTGTGGAAGAAGGTCACATCACACCCTTTTTGTTTCTCTTTCAGTCTTCTGGGTTAGGTTGAGGAAGAAGTCTGTTTGAGGCTCTATCATTAACAACTCCCTTAACGTGCTACTCTCCTGCTTTGACAAGAAAAAAACAGGCTTTCGGCTAGGGGCTTCACCAGGCAGCTGTAGCTAGCTGGAATTAACACTGTTCTGCTTTTAATTACTTTTTTATGGTTACTTCCTATCTATGAAAAGTGACGTGCTTTTTTTTTCCCATTTGTGATAATGATATAAAGTTTCTATCTGAAATCTATTTTAAAGGTAATTTAAATAAAATACTAAGTAAACACAAATGCAGGAAGTGTAGGGATATAAAAATACTAAGCAAAGAGTATGGTCGGTGAGTCTCACTGGAATCACTGAAATTGTGGTACTGTAGTTGCCTGACTAAGCTTTGGGTAACTCTGGCCCAGGGCAATGATAGGAGCCGGGTGAGGATTAAACTCGCTTCTGCCTTTGGAAGGACAAGATGTAGAACCACCACGTTGCCGATGGCTGGGCTCTGAGTGCTGCAATGATACGATCCGGTGCTCTTCCAACTACTGAGCTCTCTAACTGGGGATGAGAAGTTTGGCCAAGTAGTTGTTTAGAGCAAAATGGATTCAGACTAAAAGGAAATCACTCATTCTAGCCTTGTTAAGCGTCTGGTGAGACTTTAGACCAGCAGTGAGCGCCCGAGTGATGCTTGCAGTGAGTTATTCCCCAAGTTGTGGCCTAGGGAGAGCTGAGCTTCGGCATTTCTGCTGC